CTGAAGCTGAAATCCCACTAAAAACAGATTTATCCACACACATGGAAAGCAACAAAAAATTAAAAATAAAAAGAAATGATGGGGGAAGGGAGTGGGGAGGGAGGGTTGGGATAAAGAGAAACAAAAAATAGAAGAGCGACGAGAAATGAGAGTAAAAAGTTGGACTGCAAGTTTGCCATGCAGACAATGCTCCGACACTTATCTCATTTAATTTCGTATAATTTTTTCCTCCTCTGGCTCCACGCCACACACACACATGGGCCCATGTGGGGCATGTGTGTGCAACATTTGTGTAAGGAAAAATGAAAGAAGTGCAACTTTGTACCATGTTTCTCATCACATTGTTGCAGCAGCATGTGGGGGAGTCTGAGCTGGACTGAAATGGGGTTGGCGAGGGGTCCCTGCTAAAGGGGCTAATGAAAAAACTTTTTCGGCTGCTGCTGCTGGGGCTGCAGTGGTGCCTTGCCTGTGCCATTGCTTTGTTTTATTGCACATTTTTGCGGTCGCGATTGTTGGATTTCAGCTGCCGTTGCCGTTGCCGTTGCTGCCTCAGACAATGGCCAACAAATTGGTGGCAGCGAAACGAGTGAGGAAGGCCCCAGCTTCAGCTCCTGCACTTTTATAGATAAAAAGACAAAGCAGTGCAGAGCAGTCGGCGTCGGTGAAGGATTGGCGAGGAGCAGATAATGTGAGAGGCGAAATGCACTTAACTCATTTAAGGCCGGGCCGGGCCGCACCGAATGCGCTTAAATAAATTAAAATGTGGCAGGCCCTGACACTTAAATGCATATGCACAAGCATGTGCTTACTCGTAGACTTTCCTCCAACAAGAATCGAACAATTGATGCCCTGGATGTGCATAATTTCGCACTTCCTTCCGGAGCACGACTGCTTGCGCAAGTTCACTGCTTGCTGCGCTAGAAACAAAAATACTTGCATACTTATGAGGGCCTCCTCGTTTCAAAGGGTCATCTTAAGGCATGAAAGGGGATTGGGATTGAATGCATCTACTACAGGGTATGCAACACACAGCGGATAGTGTCGCAGTGCCTCGTGTCCTGACACCGTTGTGCCCGGAGTCGCTGCTTTCGCTTGAATGCCTGTGAAAGGCGCGAAAGTGTGCCAAGAAGCGAGTAACAAGAGACAGTCAAACAAAGTGTGGCAGAGCGGCAGCGCAGGCGAAGACCGGCTGGGCGGGTGAGGGACAGGGACAGATGATGGTCTGTGGGGCAATGGGTAAGCAGGTCTCAAAGGACATGCTGCACTTAAAACATCGCGGTCGCCATTAAAAATTATGTGCAATAAGCAGGAGCAGCACCAATGCCTGCGACTGCGAACAAACAACAAATAATGAAATTATAATTAAAGCCAGAGCCAGAGCCAGTGCCGGAGCCGGAGCCAGTGCCGAAGCCGGTGCCGTACCAAAAGGGATGGACGAAGGGCAGTTGGCAAAGAGCAAAAGGAGACCATCAAATGCACAAAATGAAGCGACCACAAAATGCAGACAACGAATTCAATTACCTTCTCAAGTCCGTCCAGCCAAGTGTGGGCGTGGCATAATGAAGAAATTATGAAGTGCATTAAGGCCCAGAAATGGCACAAGCCAGCTCCAAAGAAGGGCCCCAAGAAGTAGCAGACCAAAGGAAAATGAATACGCTGATTGAGCTGCCCTAAAGGAACGATACTGCAGGCAACAAGGGTGAGGGCGGAGGGTGACAGAGATGTAGACAGAGAGAGAGAGCAGCAATGGCAAAGGACAGGACAATAAAGTGCAGCCAACGGCACTGAAAGGAGAAAAAAACAACAGCGAGCAAACATTGAAGGGGCGAGATGGAGCAATGGAGCGAGAGGGTGGAAAGGTCTTACATACATTTATAAAGTACAGACTACAGAGCTCTGCAGAGTAAGCCAATTACCAAAGCCAAAACGAGCAGCGGCTTTAATTTATTTTCATCTTATATATGTATGTATGTGTATGTGTATATGTACGTATACATTATTTTTGGTTTTATTGTCTTTTTGTATTCGGAATACCCTCTACTAATTGCTATCCAAGGGTATTCGTTCAAGCCGGGGCTGATGGCTGCTCCACAAACACTTACAGGGTATTACTGTGGCAGACTCTCGTCTCTGGTTGCCTGCCTGCCGCAGATTCTTTGCTTGTTTGCAGCTTTGCTCTTCCCCCGTTTCGTTTGTGTCTGTATATTTTTAGCTCTGCTGCCCCGGCCAAAGCTGGGATGTTCTGTTCGGTTCCCCAGTGGCCCCGCCCCACCACCCTTCAGGGTAATTAATTGAAATGCCTGTCGCGGCCAAGGCTGACGGAGTATGCTCGTCGTCCTTGACTTTGGGCCTCTACTAGTGTGGAGTGTAGAGTGCGGAGTGTGGCAAGCCAGCAAAGGAAACTAAATCAAACTGCGAAAAACTAGTAACTTAAGATCAATTAGTGTTGCAAAGCGCTGGAATTGGTGTTGATAAATGGCTAGAAATATTTCTAAACTGAGAATATAAATAAGCGGGAAACATAAAAGCAATTAATGTGGCATAGCATGGGAATTAGGGTTGATAAATGGTAGGAAAATATTGAAAATTGAACCGAACATAGAATCTCTGATGTTTGCAAAACGGGGAAAACATAGCTGATGTGTGCGAAAATTAATAAATAAGTCAATTAATTAAATTATTTAACCCTATAAAGTAATATTAATAGATGGGAAGATAGGATAAAAAAATAAATAGTGGAACATTTATGAGAACTAAGCAAAGATGGAAAATCATTTAATTCAAGTACAGAGGGCTTTTAGGCCTACAAAAATACTGTCCCCAGGGCAGCACTTAGCTCGACCAAAGTTAATTTTTGCACAAACTATTTTCCCCCGCTGTGCATATCAGCCACAAACAAAAAAGCCGTATTTAGATTCAATTTTTGAATGAGTTTTAAACTCAATTAAAGTTGAAATCCTCAAACAAAATTTAAATGGCGTGTCATTTGATAACATAAGCCCCAGCCGACTTGTCAATTGGGTGGTTAGTGGGATGGGATGGGATGGGATGGAATGGGAAGGGATTGAAGTGGCACTGCTGCTGCTGCTGGTTGGATGATGGTTGCGGGGTGGTTAGGGGGCTGGTTTTAGCAGGAAGCTAACTTGTCATTCATCAAACTTTTTCAATAAAACTTTTACGCCGCTTCTCATCGCTGGCCAAGCTGCAAATCCGTCGCTCATTTCGAGAGCCCAAAAAAGAGCTTTTCCCCGCGATCTGATACGAGATGAACTGTTGAGGAGACGGATGGGAGGGTGGGGAGGCGGGCAGCAGGCCAGAGTTTGAGTCAAGTGTGGTAGAGTGGAATGCAAAAGTTTTGCCACTCACTCGTTTCACCGGAGAGTAGAGTTTCGATTTCCATTGCTCCCGGCCCCCAACAACTGTCATTGTCAACAGTTTCCCATGGCCATGCCTCCTGCACCTGACCCCTAGACCTGCCCGCACCGACATTGGGGGGAGAAGCTCAGTTTGAAGCTCCTACAAACAAATATTATACTCGGTATTGTGTTCCATATCGATTTCCCCTTTGGCTTCCCTTTGCATTCAATTTGCAGGATGGGCCCATGCAACTTTTATGTTGAGCTCATCATTTTGCAAAATGCTCAAAGGGGGATCGATGGATGGATGCCGGTGGAAGGGGCAAGGATGCGGCATGGCAAGGAACGGCATGGAACACAAAAAACAAAAAACTGAGACTCAAGCCCAGACCGAGACGCAGATGATGAAGAACAAACTGACAAAAGAATCAGCATGAAGGACACTGTGCCATGAATGAACTTGATGCTTAAAAAGGGATAGAGAGTGAGCGAGTAGTGTGTTTGGATGGGGGTGTGGAGCTACGGAGACTCAAATAGTTGAGCCGTAAACAATCAATGCAATCTGGGCACTAACAGAGCAGGAGCAGGAGCAGGAGCAGGTGGAGGTTCATCAATTTCCATAATTAATCATGCAAGACACAGAGCACACATAAAAGGCTAAAGCGCAAGCCTCTCGAAGTGCCTCAGTTCAAACAAAATCAAATTAAATTGATAGCAAAACTAAACCTGGGAATGGTTGCACACCCGCATCCACCTCTTAGATACCCTGCGATATAAATGTTGAAAATGTAACGATGCAACGATTATTTTCTACGTTTTAAATGCCACTAAATAAATATGTGTATATGACTCGTTCAAGGCTGCTGCTGCTGCTGCTGCTGATGCTGCTGCCGCATTGATTTCTACACCAAAAATTGAAATTTTCGCATGCATAAATTGAGGCAAGCGACAAAAACAGCCGCGAAACCACAAGCGCGCGCTTTACGAGCGTTTTTACGCGCCCAACCAGGCACCAAACCCAAATTCGTAATCGGAAAAAAAGTGTCGCTGCTGGCACATAGTAGATTCATGGCCATGAAATGGCCCAAAAACTCAAAGCGGCGGTTAGCATGAACTGGCATGGGGTTAGTCGTGGCAAAGAGCAGCACCAAGCGGTTTCAAGCGTGGCGTGGCGTAGCGTGGTGGAGAGGCGCAGAGGTGGCGGACGTGGACTCGCGAAAAGGGGGTTAAAGGGTTAGGAGACATTTGCCGCTTACGCTTGGAGAGGCAGCGCCAGGCCAGCACGAGAGTTGCCATCGCTACACCAAAAAATAAAAATCGAAAAGAAAAAAATATATAGTATAAAATGAAGAGATAAATAAACAGATAAATCAGGGGCCATAAACTGGATAAAACAAATTAGGGAAGAGGATAAATGCCTTTGTGGTCACAGCCCTTTCTTGCAGCTGAGTGAATCACTTGTAAATCACCGATCAACTGCTGCTGTTTAATCAGAGAGAGATAATAGAGGCCACCAACTGCGCCTGTGTTTCTGTGGCAGACTTTAAGTAACTCTGGCTGGGAGGGAACCTCCTTGCTTGGAACACAGACAGACACGGATGAGTCTGGGTGGGTCTCTGGGTTTGTGGGGATCTCCTTGCTTACCAGTTTGCGTGGTGCTGCCTTGGAAGAGGTTGCGCAGATAGCTGATCAGGCGTCGATGGAGCGGCCGATGGCGGTGTCGCGACGATTTGCGCATTGACGAGGACGAATCCTGGCCACCGCCACCCTGCTCCACATCGTCAGGATCCAGCGGTGTCGCTGTTGTGCCCACCTCCTTGCCACACTGGGTGGCATCCACAATTATCTCGATGCTGCGCTGTGTGCTGGACTTCTTCAGGTGACCCAGAGCTGTCATCGCTGTGCTGCTGCTGCTGCCACCTCCAACTCCACCGCCACCTGTTGCTCCACCGGCACTTGTGGCAATGGTGCCAATAAGGGCATCCGTGGCACTCGATCCGGTGCCGGCAATGCTGCTGACTTGCTGCTGTTGATGATGCTGCTGCTGCTGCTGCTGCTGCTGGTGATGCGGATGTTGCTGTTGATGCTGATGATGATGCGGATGTTGCTGTAGCTGTAGCTGTTGCTGTTGTTGCTGGTGCTGCTGTTGCTGTTGCTGCTGGGTGATGCGGCCCGCGAGCAGCTGATGATGAGCGGCTGTTGAGGGCAGCTCGTTGACGGTGCCATTGCTGTGACTGCCCCGATAGATGAGCTCCGTCTCATTGGTCACCTGGCGCAGGGCGTGCAGTCCGGTGTGCGAGGCGCTGCTTGCCATACCCGAGGCACTGGCTCCACCACCACCACCACCACCACCCCCGCTGCCATTCAGACCTGTGTAGTAGGCACTGTTGGGGCGTTGGGTGTGCTGTATCTGCGGCCCAGCCATGATGGGATGTTGTTGGGTGTTGGGTGGGTCTCTCTGCGGTGGCTCCCTGTTCCTCTCCCTCTCACTCTGTCTGGATATGGCTGGTTGGTGCTGTGCTGTGCTGTGCTGCTGTGCTGCGGTGCTGCTCACGCTCTGCTCTCTAGTTGTGGACTGGGCTCTGGTCTGGCTGGTAGTTGTTTAGTAGTTTTAATTGCATTCTGGCCATTCACATGGTTACAGCTGTCTGGGTTAGGTTGAGGTGGAGGCGTTTTGGGGCGTGTTGTGGGGGGGTTAAGCGTTAGCCGGCCTTGAGGCGCCGCGTCGAATCTCTCGGCATCTGCGAGAAGCGAGTAAACAAAGACAAGAAACAGAACAAAACCAATAAACGACTGGGCAATCAGCATACATACACACATATATACATAAATACATACATACTTACATACATACATACATATGTGTGCGAGTATTTGTATTACTTTTTTTTTCTTCTTCAAAATTTACGGAAATTTCAATGCCAGCAGCGTTGCATTTTGGTATTAGTGTGCGTTAGTGTGGGTGTGTTTATGTGTGGGTGTGTTTATGTGTGCGTGTGCGTGTGTGTGTGAAGCTCTCGTGCAAGCCACTTCGTGTCGTAATCCTAGCTGTAATCTTTACCATACAAAACAGGTCAAAGTTTCATTTCAATACACCGAGTAGGATACATTCATGTTGTTGTTGGTTGTCTTACATTTGAAATTAATTGCAAGTCACAGCCACTGGGGGGAAAGTGCTAAATGAATTCATTATTCAGCGGCTAGGCTAGGCCTCCATTCCAATACCCAATATTAAACATTTTATGGACAATTGCCAAGTGATTTATTGCACTTATGAATCGTTTATAATTATGAGAAGGCCAAAAGCTCTTTAGAGTCAATTTATCACAATTTTTGAGCGATTCCTTACCTCTGCAAAAATCAATTTACAGACAATTCAGGAGCAATTCATAATCATTAGTCACTGTGTTAATATTCGTATGCTTAGACCCGATTCTGTATTTCGTATATCTGAACAAATTAAAACATTTTCGGGGCATAAAGTAGGCTACTAAATATGTTTTGGTTGATGTCGCTGCCGAGACGGCTGTGTAGGTCAGTTTTGGGGCTAACCTTACACTGAACAGTTCAGTAAAATTGAAAAATTCCAAATTTTGTGTGCGGCTTTTTTGTTGTTTTTTTTTTGGTTTCGTTCGTACAAAATTTGTTGCGTGTCAACTGTGGACTACACTCGCCACACCATGGAGGACAAGCCCTTCAATCCGTTCTACATTGGACCGCACCCGAGCAAGGCTTGCGCCATACCCGAAGTGCCCGGGCAACAGTGCAACCCCGCCTGCGTTGAGAAGTCGCAAGCATCGGGACAGCAGCCGCCACAGTCTGGCCCCGGCGGCGGCATCCTCATCGTGGGCATAAGCGGACCCTCGGGCGGAGTGGCCAACGTCTACAGCACCGGCCAGATGTCCAACCAATCAAAGGCAGCAGCTCCAGTCACGACCGGTACAGCCGCACCTGGGCGATCGCTTGCCGCCACTGCCTCAGCGCCAGTCTCGGTCGGCATCGGTACATCCAAGCCGGGCCCATCGCTTGTTGGCAATGCCGCGCCAGCATCAACCAACAGAGTCTGCAGGCCATATCCCTGCATGGAGAACAAAAATAGCAATGGTCCCGGCTGTTAACAGAAGGATGTTTCCGACCCCAACTCAAAATGAACAGAAGCCACACATTTTTGCATTAATTCCACCAAAGTTAGCCCCGAAACAAAGACAATAAAACGGCAAATAGAACCCCAAAAGTAAGTGTTTTTTTCATGGAAATGAGAGTTCCAGAGGGCAGAAGATTTCCATGGTTTTTCAGCCCCGAGTCAGCCCCGTATCTCGCTTGGCCTTTGGCAAATATAACTAAACTTCCATGTAATCTAGTTACTGCTGAATGAAGGAATGAGGAACTGACTTTCGCCTGCAGTATCATTTCCCGGAGGCGTTTGTATCCTCGCTTGGCTAATATTCATGTGGCAAAAATTAAACTTCCAGCCACAAGAAAGAACGAGTGCTGTAGCCTCCCTTTCCCTTCTCCTTGCCCTTGCCTAAGCCCCGAGCCCACATCTCGTTTGGCCTGTGGCTAGAACTAAAATTTGCAGTGCTGGGGCTTCCATTGCGCTTCCACAATGCAATCAGCACAGAAAGTAGTTTGGGAATATTTGTGTGCATTTTACTGTGGAGCTTAACATTGCAATGTGAGTGTAAGTAGCATAAATCAGCAGTAGTTTAGCCGGTAAGTCCAAGTGCCCTGCCCCATTTACATTTCCATCAAACAACAATGAAGAACGCAACTCGAGTAGAAGCCTCCCCCTGATTGGGGGTTGTGTTATTTTTAAAGGTATATTTTTCTTTGCAGCCCGTTTCGATGGATTTTGGCCATTTGCATCATTTATGGTTCGATGGCAACTGCAAATGGATCAGCAGGAGCACCAGAGGAACCAGCAACCAGCAACCAGCAGCAGGAGCTGGGCTCAATCACATGGCTGGCTGGTGGCTCATGGCTCATGGCTGTACCCTGTGTGTGCGTTCTGCTCGGGAGTCTATCGAAAACGTATTGCTTTTGCAAATTCAATAAAGTAAAAATGTATTATTTATTGATAGACTTATGCAGAAGCATCAACGGCAGCAGTTGCACAGTTTATGGCTGCATCCTTGGCTGAGAGTACACACCTATGTTTGCTTGTATGTGAGTGGGAGTGTGAGTGTTTGTCGATGTGTGTGTGTGTGTGCGCTCGCATATGTCCTGGTACTTGGGAAAATTACAGGCATCGCCATTGTTGTCATTGCTGCCGTTCTTTGGTGCTTTCTTTGGTAGCACCTGTTTACCAAATGATTTATGCATTTTACCCACTCTGCTGTCGACGTTTCCACGTGCAAAAGAAATAACACAACTGCACCACCAACAAAAACAACAACAACAACAACAACAACAACAACAGTTAATGTGATTTTCTTGTTAAATGTAAGTCGCTGGAAAAAATGGTGCCCTTTGCTGTCTCTTTGCTTCTTCCCTCCATGCACCCCTCCAGGGTACCCTAATAGTCGTCGTTGGTTTGTTAAGCTCTTTAACTACTTATTTTGTCATCGCTAACGAACGATGTGGGACGTGGTACGTGGGATGTTCGATGTGCGATGTAGGATTACGGATGGATGTTCATTCGATCGTTCCCATTGGCTGTTTGAGTCGGGGAAATGTATAAATGAAATGCATTTCGATTAGCAATAGTCACTTCCAAGAAAAGAACCTTCCCCAAATGGTTTTTAAATTTTGTTTGGCTGGCAGAAAGCACTTAAATCAAACTGAAACCTGACTCCCATTTCCGCATTATTTAATTTTCATGCGTATTGCATCACGTGTGTGTGGGAGGGGGGGGTTCCATTTTCCATTTTCAACTGTCAACAGATCGAGTGTAAAAACAAGAAAAAAAAGAAATGACAATGGACACAGCGGGGAGAACCAAACACACGCGTAGTACGATGAGTAGAGGGCGAAACTTAATTTATTGAAATGTCGGAAATGTAAGCATTAAAAGCGCCGCACGACGAATGTAAAAACAAAGCATAAATATCTATTAAAATGAGATTGAAATAAATTACAATTTACGGAGCCATGAGCCATGCCATGAATAGAGGGAAATGGAGATACCCCAATCCTATGCCCACTCCTGTATACTCCCGCCCCATATCGCCCATATCTTCTCCACAAATGAAGGTCAGGTGGCAGTCTCGGGCAAACACTTCGATGGCTCTGAGGAAAATCAACGATGTGAACAGAGGGAAATTAAGTGCAAGCACGGGTACGAGTACGAGTACGAGTACGAGTACAAGTATTAGAGGATGGAGGTGGAGGTGCAGGTGGAGGTGGCCATGGACAACAAAAGGACTCGCATACTTACGAGTAGACGCACTTGAGTGTGAGCCTCAGACTGCGACCGAGTACCATCAGTATACGTTCGGCCATATACTCGTACTATGCCATGAAAATGGAAACGAAACGGTAAAGGAAATGAAGCTGAACTTTATTATAACAATACACAATAATCGTGTGCAAGCTTCATCTTATGCTACTGCTCCTGTTGCTCCCCTTGCTCCCCTTGCCCACCGTGCTCTCTGCCACTCCCTCTCTACCCTCTCCATCTGCCTCCTTCGTCTTCGCATTTTCCTGTTTCCTTGTGCAACCCCCCTCATCCTTTTCATGATTTTGATGAAGTGTGGCGGAAAAAGGAAAGCGGATATGCCGCTCCAAAAGGTAAACTGCAGCGGAAGCAAAACCCTCACAAAATGATGATGGGAAACAAATACGATACTACGATACGATAGTTTTGCGGTAAATAGATCGACCTAGGGTATACCCTCTGGGTACTGGGCAGCTATGACTCAGCCTGCCTTCAAATGTGTTTAAAGTTTTGGGAAACGAACGGGGAAGCAAATGCCACCTTCCATTAATGTTGCAGGAAGTCGGAGCAACTACGATGGCCGGACAGAAATACCCGTGCGAGTGGCTGCTAATTGATTGCAGACGAGCAAATTTCTCTCAGTGCATGCACGTAGTATGTACGGCAAGGCGCTTAACTAAACAAGCAGAAAACGTGCAGTCAGGCGACAACTGCACTCCTTCTCCCACTGCCTGTATTCCCTTCAGTCGACTGAAGTCCCTGCTGCGGTTACAGCGCTGCTGCTACTCCGGTGCTCCTTCGTCACGAAATCCCAGTAAAATGTCAAGTGCAGAAGAAGAAGGAGCCGCAGTAGTGACTCCTTGAACTGCCCCCGCCTTCGCCGTCGCCATTGCTTTCGCTAACCTCATGCTGCTGCTGCTGCTGCTGCTGCTTATATGCTGCATCCTGCATTCCCGATAGCCTTGCCAAGGACGACTCGCGGCAGCCACCACTTCCTGGCCTGAGCAGGTTCAGGTTGGAGCCAAGCGCAGCGCGTATTTATAAGTATGCGCAATATTCAAACGGGAAGGTAAAAGGAAATTGGATTTTTGTTGACATTATTTTACAAATATCCGGACCACACGCACACTCGTAGCAACAATGGACTTTGGCGGAGTCACTTTGGTCAGTGCCACTCTCAAGACGAGTCGAGTCGAGTCGAGGAAGATGATGATGATGATGATGATGCTCGGTGGTGGTGGGGGTGGTGCTTCTCCCCGAAGCACGACTACTCCGGCTGCTTGTGCTTGTGCGGCACAGATTTTCCACACTAAAAGATTCCACTCTTAGCAGGCACTGTATTCCAGCGCCTCTACCGCCCCCACGCGCACACACTCACACATGCTGGGGCAAACATATTTTGGTTTTGCATAATAAATTGCGTTTCGTATGCGGAGAGGCAAGAAAAAGTGGCAGAAGACAAAGGAGTGAAATCTGGGCATGCGGCAGAGAGGCAGAGGAACGCACGAGTCTCAATCCAAGGCAGCTGCTCGCAGCTCTGCATAGAGTGCATCCCGAAAGCCTCCGCCCTTTAGTGCTTTATGTTTTAATGGAGAATATGCAGTGGGATATTTAAGTAAATGTTGATATTCACTCAAGCTTAACGGGAAGGAAACCCTTTTCAATTTAGAAAATCTCATATACTCGTATTTTAAAATAATTGCCAAATAAATTCTCATTTTATTTTCATTGGTTCCCATAGTTTTTTTTTTCAACTTTTAAACCATTTTTACCTTCGCATTCTATGTTGATAGATGCGCTGAGCAATTTTTTCCCATATTTATCTTTTGCTGTCTGCCATATCTACAGATCAATGTATATTTTTGTGGCATTCCCTGGGCATACTCTGGTCGATCCAATTGTTTTATCTACATTTTTTCATTTGTAGAGTTGATCTCTTCCCTATCTCACTCGCTTTCTCCTTTCTGAGATGCTGCAGGAAAAATTGGTGGGGCTGGGGGAAAGTGCGCTTTATGCTCCGGAATCTGTTTTGGGTTTTCCGAGTGCCTCGGGCTGCTGCTGAAAGCAGAAACCAATCAAATTTCCATGTTTGATTTATTTGATGAAAAATGTTGCATGCGCTTTGGTTTTCGCTCTCTTTTGGGTTTTTCTTTTTTTTTTTTTTTTTTTTTTTTGGGCATTTTATGAATGTGAATGTGAGTGCGCTTTCTTTTTCCCCTCTTTGGCAGCTCTTTGTTTTTTGGGGGGCAATTTTGGTTGGGTGCTTGGTGACATGGAAGAACTGCAAATTGTGTGATGGAAATGAACTGACAGAAACACACCACACACAGCCAGGAGAGGGCTGACAAAGGAGGAGGAGGCTTAAACACGCACTCTTACAATCAAGTACCGTCAGACAGTCAGTCAGTGGGTTGGTTGTGTAGTCAGGGAGTCAGTGGGTCGTTGGGTCGGTAGGTCGGTGAGTCAGTCGCTGTCACGGTCTCGAGAGGCCACAGAATGTAAAAAAAATCGCCAAAGGCGCTGGGGCGCTGCTGATGAGGTTGGTTATCGCGGTGGCAGAGGTAATGACACGCCCACACACACACACACACAAACACACACACACAAATATATAATACAAGTATTTAGAAAATTTACGGAGGTGACCACAGTGTTGGAGTTAAGTTTGTGCACTCCCCCAGCAGACATGCCGCAGAATGTAAAATAAAATACAAATTTTTTCTCTTTTTTATTTCCTTTTAGGCGATAAAAAAATCCGCTAAATTTGATCTTCCTTTTATTTGTATTTTTTCACCTTTTTCCGTATATGTGTTTGTAAATGTTTGTACGTACGCATATTTATCCCTTAATTTAATCTC